GAAACGATGTACAAATGCGCTTTACACAATTGATGTGTGTATGGATTGGGATAACAGTTGTATGAGCCCCTAATAAAATGTTAAAAAAAAAAAAAGAAGTAATAAAAATTAGAGCAGATATAAATACATCAAGGAAACAGAAAAACAATAGAAAAGACAAGAAGTTGATTCTTTGAAAGAGTAACAAAATTACAAAATAGATAAACCACTGGCCAACCTAACAAAGCAAAATAATAGGCATATATCACAAATAAGTGACTCAGGCCACATTATAAGAGAACCAACTGAAATAACAAAACATACTATGAAGGATTGTACTCTAACAAATATGGAAACCTAAAGGAATAGACAAATTTCTAGAGACCCACTACCTACCTAAATTAATGCAGACTGATGTTTGAAAACCAAACAATTACATTGTGAAAAAGAGATTTATCTGGTCATTACCAAACTTCCATAAAAAAGTTCAGAGTTGGATGGCTTCACTGGGAATTCTACCAAACAGAGTACTGACATCAGTTCTACTCTGAATATAAGAAGGACAACAAACTGTTGCATTCATTTTATGAAATGAACATAGCTTCGATGACAAAACCAGATAAAGATCACCAGAGTGGAAAATTATAGAAAAATATCCTTTATGAACATAAAACATGCAAAAATTCTCACAAAATATTAAAACAAACAGAAACACATGTTCAAATGGGGTTCTTCCAAGGTTTAGCATTAGGAAAAAAATCAGTGTAATCTACCATACAAAGGAAAAAGACAGCCCGATCATGTTCATTAATGCAGAAAAGGCATTTGAGAAAATTGAACACTCATTCCTGGTAAAAACACTCGACAAAAGAACAGAAGGGGAATTCCTCAGCATAATAAAGGCCATGTATACAAACCAAATGGCAACCTTACTGGGAGGAGAAACTGGAAGCTTTATCCTTGCAAATGGGAATCAGAAAAGGTTCCCAGACTTATTTGATCTACTCTTCTCTTTTCCAGGGGTGAGGAGAAATGCCCCAGGCAATTAAAAAACCTTTGTATGATAGCACACAAGCTACAATAAAGTGTTGGCATTTGCTTTTTTTTTGCGCCTCTGTTCATTCTAGCACCTGCTCCACTCCTCTCTCCAGGGCCATGTTGCTCACTTTGGGAAACACTGGAACTGATGATTTCTACCTAAAACTACAAAATGTGTGTGCATCAAAAGATTTTGCCAAAAGAGACGCCACAGATTATGGAAAAAAATAGTAACAATATATCAGACAAGGGTTTATAGAAAACTTTAACACCTCAACAAGAAAACTAATTAAAAACTGGGCAGAGTATATAAATAGTTTACCAAAGAATGCATTCAGGCTGCCAACAAACACGTAGTCACTGGCCCAACTAAAATTGATGCCACAGTTCAAAACAAAAATTCTGGAGGGGTGCAGAGAGATAGAAACCCATACGTACTACTGGTGGGACTGTAAAACAATATAACCATGTGTAAAGCAGTTTGATGCTCCCTCAAACAGCTATAGAAATAACATAGGAATCAGCAATAGTGCTACTTTGTATATAGCCTATAGAAATAAAGAACCTGGCATAAATAGGTACTTTCATACCATGTTCATCACTGCACTATTTATAATAGCAAGATTATGGAAATAATGTAAATGTCCATTGGTGGGAGAACAGATACCCATACACACAATGGAATACTACACATTGGTGAAGAATCATGATGAGCCTTTTTAGCTCTCTGAGCAGCACCATTTTGATTAACAAAAACAAGTGCCTTACAAAAGGTGGCAAAAAGGAGCCAAGAATAAAGTGGTTGAGCCATTTTCTAAGAAAGATTAGTACGGTGTGAAAGCACCAGCTATGTTCAGTATAAGAAATACCGGAAAAACACTTTTTGCCAGGATTCAAGCAACCAAAATTACATCTCATGCTTTCAAATGTTGAGTTTTTGAAGTGAGCCTTGCTGATTTGCAGAATGATGAAGTTGCATTTAGAAAATTCAAGTTAATTACTGAGGACATTGTTTCGACAAGCTGATGACGCACTCACTTGTCTATGCCAGGAGATTTGGAAGACAGCTACTTGGCCAACCGACTGGAAAGTTTCATATTTGTACTCATTCTAAACAAGGTGACCTAACAGAATGTTTAAATGATAGAACTGTATCATATACCAGTAAAATTTTACTAAAGACCAACAACGGTTGCATCAGTACATTGACAGGAAGCTTCCAGAAGTTCAGACTTGATTCAGAAGACATGGAATGAGGGATCTCATTGCTAATTTCAGATGGATCTTGGCTGAAAGCAGGGAACACCAGAAAGATGTTTATGTGTTTTTTTTAATTGATTATGCCAAGGGATTTGACTGTGTGGATTATAACAAACTATGGGTAACTTTGAAAAGAATAAGAATTCCAGAGCACTTCATTGTGCTCATTTGACACTTGTACATAGATCAAGAGGCAGCAGTGCTAATGGAACAAGGTACAATGGAACAATAGTATACTGCATGATTTAAGATCAGGAAAGGTGTGCATCAGGGTTGTATCCTCTCATCATACTTATTCAATCTGTACTTTGAGCAAATCATCACTGAAGCTGACATACATGAAAAATATGGCATCAAGATTGGAGGAAGGCTTCTTAACAACCTGCGGAATACAGATGACATAACTTTGTTTGCTGAAAATGAGGAGGACTTGAAGCACTTGCTAATGAAGTTAAAGGATTGCAGCCTTAGGTAGGGATCACAACTCAATGTAAAGAAGACCCAAATTCTCACAAATGGATCAATAGGTAATGTGATAAATGGAGAAAAGGTTGAAATTTTCAAAGATTTTATCTTGCTTGGATCCATAATCAGTGCTCATGGAAGCAGCAGTCAAGAGCGCAAAAGATGCATTGCATTGGGCAAATCTGCTGCCCAAGACCATTTAGGGTGTTGTAAAGCAGGGAAGTGCCTTTTAGGACTTAGAAGCACTTGACCCAAGCTATGGTGGTTTCCATTGCTTCATTTGCATGTGAAAGTTGGACATTGATAAGGAAGACAGAAGAAAATCAATGCACTTGCATTGTGCTGGAGAAGAATACGTAGAGTCCTCTGGACTACTAAAAGGACAAACCGATGTCTTGGAAGAAATATGACTACAGGGCTCCTTAGAAGCAAGGATAGTGAGACTTTGGACCTATTGTCAGGAGAGACCAGTCCGTAGAGAAAGACACCATCTGTGGTGAAGGAGAGGAAGGCCCGTAAGGAGTTGGATTGACACTGTAACAATGGGCTCACACATAGGAAAATTAATTCCTTACTCTTTAATATGAGTCTCACTTTGGCTTGGGTAGTGAATATCTTACATTTACTTGTTATAATTTGAACTGAGTTGATTTTCATCTCTTCCAATCTCAGCAACTCTCTTATTTCTCCTGCCCTTTTTTGCTATACTGAGAATATGAAGGTAGTATAAAGATGTCTTACTAGTACTTAAGGCGTCCTGGTGGTGCAGTGGTTAAGCACTTTGACTATTATGTAACTAAAAGGTTTACGGTTCGAAACCATGGGCGAAAGATTTGATAGTCTGGTTCCTTAAAGATAACAAATTTGGAAACCCTGTGGGGCAGTTCTACCTCATCCAACGTATGCTTGCTGTGAGTCAGAGTGGACTTGACAGTAGTTTGGGGTTTTCTTGTATGTTATTTTACAAAGTACAGCTACTTCCAATTTTTGGTTTCCATTGACATTTTTACTTCTTTGAATAACATAATTCACATACTTTGGAATTCTCCTATTCATGGACGTACACTCTGCGGTAATTCCATTTTTGAATCCTAACCGTTTCTTCTTTTCTCTTTAGCCCTTTGTGCTATGGAAGTGCTCCCTCTTGCACTACCTTCTCCACCTCGCCAGTTATCAGAATCGGAAAAAAGTAGGATGGAGGATCAAGAGGAAAATACTTTAAGAGAATTGCGGTTGTTTCTCAGGGATGTAACCAAGAGGCTGGCCACAGATAAACGCTTTAACATCTTCAGCAAACCGGTGGATATTGAAGAGGTCTTGTTTCAGTAGTGTGCAAACAGTGAAGTTGAACTGGCTAAAAGAAAAAATATTGACATCTTTTTTTGGAAGGAAAAAAACAAAGGCATGGATGAATATTACCCCTAGCCTATAAAATTATAATCCATGTGATAACTACCGTGTCATCAGCAAACATCTGGTGACTTTTGGATAAAATTAGTGACTGATTTGAACTTTTCCTGTTAATTATTCTTGATCCTTATGATATCTTACTCTTCAGTTTACGAAGAGGATTAAGTTTACTTGATCCATACTAGACTATTTTTATTCCAGGATAAATTCTGCTCACAAGAAAATCTACTGATATTAACTCATGCCAATATTGGCATTCCCCAAATGACACATAAATCATCAGAAGGGATGAATAAGGTCCCTGGATATTCTTTGTAGTTTATATTTTGGAAATGCCTGTGACTTAGGCACTGTTGAATTGAGCACATCCTATGCGGTTAGAATTATTTTTTCTCCAAGGTTTTCTTTATTCCTGGTGGAAAATTTCTCTTTCTGTGTGTATTGTTTTGTGTGCCTGTGGGAGCATGATTTATAATAACAAGTAAAGAAATTTTCCATTTGGGATCTATCATAATAGTGTAAATGATTTAGATTTTAGATTATGATGATTTTTTTTATCCTGGGATAATATAGTGTGTGGATGAACACATTGTAATCTTTACTGGCCTTCTTCTGATAGTTCAGACTCCATGTTTGAACAATGTTGGTGTTTTTTGTTTGGTTTTTTTTTCTTTTTTTCCTTAAATTTGAATTATGAAATGATTCAGAGTTCAGTGTCATGTCCTAGTTGTGAAATCTGTGCTTCTGGACTTGAGAAGCTGCCTTTGGAACCATTACTTCATGTGTGGCTCGACACAAATGAGCTAGCGTTATGTTTTTCCCTTCCTGGAAAGTCATTATGTACTTTTCCTTTTTGTGGAATAAAGGGACTATCTCTAATTTTATTAATATATTTGTGCACAATAAATAGTTTCACCCATTTATTTCTTTAATCTTCCAATGTCAGTATTATCCTAATTTTGTAGCATAGGAAACAGGCTCAGTTAGGACACATAGTTGGCAAATGATATAGCTACAACTTGGAATTTTTAAAAATTCAAAGCCCATTCTTAATCTATCCTATACTTAGTTCTGATTTTGTTTTTAATCAATTCTTTTTTTAAATTGTTTTATTAGGGGCTCATACAAGTTCTGACTTTTATACTTCATTACAGTACTTCCCACCTCTCCCCCCTTTCCTTCTTACTGGGATAATAAGACCTCAAAATCCAAACTCACTACAATCTAGTCAATGCTGACTCATAGTGACCATATAAGACAGAGTAGAACTGTCCCTGTGAGTTTCTGAGATTATAAATCTTTATAGGTGTAAGAAAGCCTCACTTTTCTCAGTTGGAGCTGGCTGATGGTTTTGGGTTAGCACCCCAATACATAACTTCTGTGCCACCGGGGCTCCTAACTGGGATAATAACGGTCTCTGCTCAATTTGCTTTTTCAGTTGCTAATGGCACTTCTTACTTCATATTAATGACATTTATTTTTCCTATAATGTTTTCAGATAATTTAATTATTTTAAATGTCTTCTGACCTCTGCTCCAAATTGGGTATATTTGAACGTTCATGCTTTTTAGTGATAAGAGCTTACCTCAAGACAACCTCCTATAATTGGAATAAACCAATTTTGCCCTCGTCCAGGAAACTTTTTCTTTCTAAGCAGAAGAGATTGTCAAATTTCAAATGCAATAGAGTACAGGTTTTATAAATGATGGTAAAGGCAGTGGAAAAGGATAGAGAGTATTGGTTAGATACAACTTTTAGATAAGGGTTGAGTTCCCTTCCTCTTTCCTTTATGTTCTTTTGTCTCGGGTTCATTCTGCCACTGGTTCTCTGTCTACTCTTAAACACAGGAGTCCTTGGGAAGGATTAGAAGGAGAAGCAAGATGGCATTTAGATAACGTAAAACACAAAGCTTATATTCAAAGAATGAATTTGAAGTGTCTACAAACTTTAATAAGTTCCAAAGCCAACAGCAGAGAAGATAAACATTTAGAAAATAAATACTGAATTTTAAAACTCAGCATAGGCACTAAAATTTTATGGCCTTTGGTAATATATATTTTTATAGTGCCTTATAGTTTATGAAACATTTTCTACATGTATACAGAGAATACCAGCTGCCTGAAACAAGAGTTCAACTAATATCTTCTGAACTATTTCTGTTCCATTATAACTCTACTACCATCCCTATAAGATTGACTGGCTTTTCAAAAGCTCCTACAGGCCAAAATGTAAAAAAATAAAAAATAAAAAAGGATACACATATTCTCTTCCCCAACATTTTTATAAAATCTGAAAAGATTTCAATGATCTGTTTTATATGTGTGAGTACACATAAATTTTGAAAAGTAATGATAGTACCATCCAAAACTAGTGTCAGTTTCATAGAGCAGGAATTGTATATAGAAATTAATTCTGGACTAATATATCACTAATTATATATTACTACTTTTACATCAGGCCTAATTATGTGGTTTGGAGTTTGCAACATTAGGGAAGATTGTATGTCTACATCTATATATACACATTGCTGGAGCTTTCTTTTTGGTCGAGTAGTAGACAACATAGAACTTATTGGGTAGGTCATTTTTTAGTATCATCTATTTTGGGTTAGCTCCCAGAAAATGAGCACACAGAGCCAGATGCATTTCTCGTACTTATTTTGTCAATATTTCTAGTCCAAGAAATCTTTTGCATAGGAAGAAATCAATACTTTAATTATTTCATAATTGACTCAGAATATCCGTAATGCCTCCAAAGGAGTAGAAACACTTTCCATGAAGTGTGATTTACCCTAGAAAACTGAAAGAGAAGGAACAAAATTTGGTAGCAAATTTTAGAGAACTTCAATAGAAGAGCTTTCTCAGGATACCCTACACTCTTCTCAAGATGTCCAGAGGATTGAAACCCACAGAAAAACCTGAGGCAATTGGTTTCAAAATTAGAAATATTTCAGAGCTGATTTAGATATGACTTGGAAATTGAGGCTATTCATGGAAAGTATAACAATAGCTTTAGTAGAATAAATTGTGCTGCAAATATTCTGATTTCTTAGATGTCTACATTTACTTTTAAAATAGCCATGCTTTTATTTTGTGTTTTTACAAATTGAATAGATGGTATGTTCAGAAATAATTTTCATGAAAATATCCTTTTACTGTAGGTTTCAGATTATCTTGAGGTAATCAAGGAGCCAATGGATTTATCAACCATAATAACAAAAATTGATAAACATAATTACCTGACAGCTAAGGATTTCCTGAAGGATATTGACCTCATCTGCAGCAATGCTTTAGAGTACAATCCAGATAAGGACCCAGGAGGTAAGGATGGTCAGGGCAAGATTGACCTTGATAATCACTGATCGTTTTAAGTAATAGATCAGGGGTGGGGTGGGGCCTTTTTTCTCCTGCTACGGGCCATTTGGGTATTTATAATGTCATTTGCTTGCCATACAGTCAAACATTTACTGAACTCACCTTTATTGTGATGCTGACACTGCTTCTCTTTGGTGAGGCCTGTGATGTTCACTGGTGTGGATGATTTCGCTGGCCTGACCCAGCCCATAGGCCAGATGCTCCAAACCCCTGGTCTAGATCAATGAATTTTAATGGCCTATTATTTATTCAGAAATGTCTTGATGTAGAAGTAATTACACATTAGAAATGACATACTTAAGTTAATGGATAATATTAGTCTGAGTATTATGTTTAACATTGAGCATTTTCTTTTTCCATTCATTATTTTATACTGAAATTGAAAAAATTATATCCCGGTTATGATAGAAAACTAAATAATTGAGAATTTCATATGAAATATGTTTATTTACTTTATCAGCATCACCAGTGCTGATAACTACTGGTGAGACTTTTGATTTTGTTGGAACCCATCAGAAGATAATCCTGTATATACAAATACCCACTGTGTGGGAATGGTTCTGTCTTCAATCGGTTGTATAGGCGTTTTTATATAATTTTAATATTTTACTCCTGATCCCATTCTGTACTTAGTCCCACTTTTTTTCTTTTTTTAGTCCCACCTTTTATCAGTACTCTATAGGACTGCCACCAGGGAAAGACCTGAATATGCCACATGGGGAGTCATGCATGACTTAGACTTGTGTTAAGTTATTAGGGGGAAGGTTTAATAAAGTAGGGCTTTGTCATGGCTTGGGTGCTATTTGGAGTGAATTTTTTTTAATTTGTTTTGTGTTGTTTCTTGCCTTATTTATTTTGTTTTTTAAATCATTTTATTAGGGGCTCACACAACTCTTATCACAATCCATACATACATCAATTGTGTAAAGCACATTTGTACATTCATTGCCCTCATCATTCTCAAAACATTTCCTCTCCACTTAAGCCCCGGGCATTAGGTCCTCATTCTTCCCCTCCTTCCCCGCTCCCCCCTCCCTCATAAGCCCTTGAAAATTTATAAATTGTTATTTTGTCATATCTTGCCCTGTCCGCATCTCCCTTCACCCACTTTTCTGTTGTCCGTCCCCCAGGGAGGAGGTCACATATAGTTCCTTGCAATCGGTTCCCTCTTTCCAACCCACTCTCCCTTTACCCTCCCAGTATCGCCACTCTTACCACTAGTCCTGTAGGGCTCATCCGCCCTGGATTCCCTGTATTTCCAGTTCCTATCTGTACCAGTGTACATCCTCTGGTCTAGCCAGACTTGCAAGGTAGAATCCATGTCGTGATAGTGGGAGCGGGGAGGAAACATTTAGGAACTAGAGGAAAGTTGTATATTTCATCGTTGCTACATTGCACCCTGACTGCTCATCTCCTCCTCAGACCTCTCCACTGGTTCCCTACTCCGCGCCGGCACGTTGTATTCTGGAGTGAATATTTTTGTGATTGGGCATTTTAAACATTTAGAAGGTAGGAAGACTGGAGTGAGGCTAAAGATAATTGATAAAGAAGCAGCAGTCATTCTTATTAACTAGGATAGGATTATGTTTGGTTATTTTTTATGGCTAAGACAATGTTGTTATCTGTGTTCAGACATGGTTCCAGAGTGCTCAGTTGATTCATCTTAGGCACAGAGGGGCCACACCATTGATGTTGGTGTTCTGTGAAATTATTTAACATACAGGTTTTTAAACTTTTTTGGGGGGAAACAAACTCAGCACCCCCCTGGCAATGAAAAACTTTTGTACTATAGTCTGTTCCAGGATAAAGTATAAGTATCTGTTTTTTTGCAAGTCCTCTCTCCCCCTGCTAATCATTCCACTGCCTGCCAAGGGGTAGTATCACCCGCTTTAAATCAGGTTGGCACAAGCACACCAAGGCCCAGCTGATAGTACTGTCCAGCTTCCAGCTGTCAGGTCTGTTTTCCTCGAGCTCACTTTATTGAGACTTCTCACTGTTTCTTCAACAACTGATGAACGAGTGAGGTGGCTTTTTCCCCCCTTCAATTTTCTCTTCTCTAAAGATCTTTGGAGTATTGCTTGTGCACTGTATTTTCAGCGCATGGTTCTCAGCCCAGGCTCCATGTTAGAATGACCCGGGCTTCTCAATCCCAGGTTCACTCAGGTATAGTAAATCACACATCCTAATTCCAAGTTAAGAGGCAGGGCTAATTTTTTACATTGCTGCTCTGGTATCTAATAGGTCTTAAGCTATTGTATTAGAATGTTCATCATGTATGGTTTTTATTTGTTTTTCTTCTGTTTGTCTTCTTAAGGGATCATCTAGATAAACTAAGAGGAAAGAAGAAAATTAAACTAAACTGTAATCCTTTTACTTAGTGTTATCATACACACACACACGCATACCGTTTTCACTAAAATGATACGTGATTTTTGTAAACTTTTGTTCATGTAATGTTTTGTGAAGCACTTTCTTAATTAAAAATCATGTTTCTTCATTTTTTTCATCATACAAAAGAACTAATTGCTAATATCCTATTATTGGGAATTCTAGTTTTTTTCCTTTGTTGGTCAGTTGATGAATATCCTTATAGCATAAATTTTATATACATTATTGACATATCTGTCAAAAATCTACAGGCTAAAAATTAGACTCATGTATATGATTGGTCACATTCAGAGCACACAAGTTAAATTTCTTTCCTGTTACAACAGTTTTATTGGTACACAATCCACATACACAAGTTAAATTTCTTCTGGCTCATACGTAAATCCTGCCCACTCCATCCTCAGGTGAGGAGGATCTGTGTAAATGCTCGGGCAACATGTATAGCTTTCAAAATGTTGCTTTTTGTCTTCTGTCTTTGCAAGTTGGTTCTCCACCGCCCCACTCCAAATGGCCAGATGTGCTGCAAAACAGAACACCATAAGCTTTCAAATATTCCAGAGAACTTGTAAAAGTACTACAACATTCATGTAATTTCCACTTGCAACACAGCAGACCCTGAGGTTGTTTTCCTGATACATAACAAGTGGTTATGTTGCCAAGGAAAAACAGGCCTCTGGCTTAAAGACTTGAAAAAAATCTGAAAAGGGCTAAAATAATGTTTTTGAATTAAATCACACTTTTTGCACCTAAAAGAGTGAACGGTGGAAGTTACAAGTGTGTCATGCTAACTATAACTGAGACAGAGCCATATTCTTTGATTATATAACTGAAATCCACAGTAAAAGAAATACTAGAAACCACTGCTTCATTTTTGAAAGTAATTATTATACAATGTGGCCATAATTAATTGCTTGGAGGAAAAGATCTAAATTGATCTTCTCAAGTGGGGTTCTTTTAGCAACTAAATTCATTTTGTATACTAGTACCTAGATTTATTCCAAAATGGAATTAAATTTAAAATGTGATCTAAGGAATTTAACAAGCAGGAAGGTAGAATAAAGTATATATGCTTAGTAAAGAGCGTTTAAAAATCTTAAAACAGTAAAGATGATAATGAGAACAAATAGATGTCAACAGTCAGCCTTATGGAACACTTACCATGCCCAAGGCACTGGGCTAAGAGCTTGACATATTTAGGTTGAGACACAGGAAAATGGTAATTTTCATTTCCCTGTGGTTGGGCTGACTATATTTTCTCATTTAAATCTTACAACCATTCCAGAGAGAAGGGCACTGATCTCTATGTGACAAATGAGGAAAGTAAGACTTAGAAGGATTAGCTTGATTGAAGTTAAGAGAACTATAAAGTGGTAGAAGCAGCTCTAAAGCCCAGACCTAAACCCAAAACTCACTACATACTACATGGGTTCAGTGTTAGCTCTACTTTGCAAGGCAAGCTGAGGGTGTGGGACACAAGTACATCCATACTTTGTTTAAGGCCACTGCGTGCATGCTGCACACTCACATACAACCCCGATAATGAAGTCAAATGAAGCTAAAACCCAGGGATAGTACTGTGCCCCTGTTGAAGAATTGCATCCAGGCTGCAGAAGGGGATTCTGTATTTCACTCACCTGAGGTTGCCACATTTGCTAATGGTGGCCCTGATGGTGCCAGTACCACTGTAGTCAGTTGGGATCCTGTGTATTCCACCTGGCCATGTCCACATGTACACTCGCTGTTTATGTTGTAGAAAGAAGATATCTGCAGTGAGGAAGTCATTACTTTTGCAGAATTCTACCTTGCAATCTCCAGCTTCATTTCTGTCACTAAGGCAGTATTTTTGAAATACTGCCCCATCATCTTTGTTTCCAACGTTCACATTCCAATCACCAATAATTAACAATGCCATTTGATTAGATGTTTGATCAATTTCTGAAGAAGTTGGGGATTCTTTAATTTTTCATCACTAGTGTGTTGGTCCCTGAACTTGAATAATAGTTGTCTTAACTAGACTCCCCCGAAGGCATGTAGATATTATCCTATCACTAATAGTATTGTACTTCAAGTTAGATCTTGAAGTGTTCTTTTTGACAATGAATGTGACACCATTCCTCTTGAACTTGACATTCCTGGTGTATTAAATCATGTGATCGTCCATTTCAGCTCACAAATACCTAGGATATAGATCTTTATGTGTTCCATTTCATTTTTCCTAGCGTCATACTTGGTACATTCCATATTCTGATTGTTAATGTATGTATTTGCAGCTTGTTTCTTCTCATGGTGTGTTGTGCCCTAATAGCAAATTAAGATCATGAAAACTATACTCAATCCATGGCATGAAGGTTGACGTGGCTTTAAGAAGGTGCCTTTTCCTCAGTCCTGTTTTGAGTGTCTCCATGCTGAAGGCTTCTCTTCCGGCACTCTTGACCGCGTTCTGTTGCTGTTCATCAGGGTTTGGTTGCTAATCCTTCAGAAGAGGATAGCCTATTCCTTCTTCCCAGATTGTTCTTAATCTGGGTGCTCTGCTGACAGTTGATGCACCTTGGATGACC